ACAATAACAATTCAATCTCAGATTAGACTCGTATGCAATAGATGTATTTTCTTATTTTTGAGAAACAGGGAACATGTACCGTGATGAACTGTCACCTGATTTGGAGATAGCCTATGTCCTAATGCTGCTGTCACTACCTTTAAAGGGGCCTTGTTAGGCTTTTGGGGGTTTTCCTTTTCCTGTAGTGTTATATAGGTTTTAGTGCATGTAAATGGTCTGCAAAGGCTAAAATCCCAAAGTTCCCTCCAGAGGGAGTTTCTCTACCACACACTCCCACCCCCTGCCCGAAACGCCTCTATTGGACTCCTTTGTTTACTTCTGTAACATAGTGACATCACCATGTAACACTAGCACTTCTATTGGCTAGGGCTCCAACACATTGTACGTGATAGGCTGAGGGGCGGGACATCTGTAAGCGGTTGATCACAATCACAATAGAGCCGGCCTGCTAACCAATCAGAGCAGTCTGGGCTCTGGTTTCAGACAGAGGGTGAAAAGAGGTGCTGCAGCACAGGCAGTATGAGGAAAATAAAGAGCTTTTGGAACATTAAAGCATGGAGACATGTCACAGTTGAGGGCCTTTTAGCTGTTAGTTGCCATTAACCATTGTTCAAAAGCTGTTGCACTCCCCATTGTGAGATGTCAGAGGTCAACACTCACCAGACTACAGCAGCCGTCACTGAGTTAATGTGAACGCTTCTCATATCATCAACACTGAATCAGATTTCATCTTGTATAATACACAGTCTGTTACAATTGGTGCCCCCATTGGTGAGTGATAAATGAAACCCCTCTGAAGCAGTTAAATGATGTATGACAAAATAATGAAATAGTGTATTAGCTCTGTGTGATCCCAACGATGGGGGGTATGGTGGGCTAATGAGTATGTAGCTCTGTGAAGTCCCGCAGTAAATCTGCAGGAAAACCCCTCGCTTATAATGCTGACTCAGTGCCAGGCACGACTCTGCTTCTTCCTCTATGCTATCGACATAATACTATGTAGTATGTCGTACGCAGTATACCAAAAACACCAGGATGTCATACTGCGTCTGGTAAAAAAATTCAGCATACAGTACAAGCTAGTATGCTTTTTTCTGTCCCACAATCCTTAGCACAGCTGATATATGAGATGGTCACGTTAAAATGTTATGATGAAGTAATATGTCTAATTTGTATGTGTACTTCATGCAACAATACGTACTTTGTAAGGGCAACTGCATCACCAAATGAAAGTAAAAAATGTAATTACGGTAACGACAAATTATGGTTGATTTCAGCTGTTTTTAACTCTAAGTGTCCACGGTTTTTCGTTGACACTCGTGCGAGTTATAGCGTGTTTCTGCACTTGGTAGTGTTTTCTGTATTTGCAATGCCTTTCTGTATTTGTTTTTATTTACTTTTCTTGAGCTTTTTAAATGCTTCTAATACTTCTAAATACTGCTCGTCTTGTCAATTTGATGAAGATATTTTCCTAATTTGCATGAGTTTTTTCTAATTGTATGTGTTTTTAATCTGTATAGTTCTTTGAGTTTTCTGGGCCACCAAATGATTGGCTCTAGTGCAGTTCAGCAAAACTAATTTCTAATCTTGTATTGTATACTTGTTTTGTATCGCCCTTTGCACATTAAGGATCCATTTAAATCAAACAAAAATCAGGTCCCTTATATTAAATGTGTCCATAAGTCAGTCAAGGGAGAGTGGAAAAGTGATTGGCTGTCACCTGTCATTTCCTTGCGTGCCTTAATTTTTCCATATATATACTAATATTAAATGTGTAAATTGGTATTGATTTACCACAAGAAGAATTATAGTTACTGCCTATTTCTCCTCAGGGTGAAGAGGATTAGATTCTCATTCAAAACGGCCCTTTGATGTTTCCTTCAAAGCTACAATAGAATGATATTACAATGTGTTTCAGGCTCATCACTTGGACAGAGTGCGGCTGAGCAGAGAGCATGGCCAGTGCTGCATGTGGATTTCGAGGTTAGTGAGGCTCCAGCCAGCAGGGACGCTCAGAGACCCCCCCCACTGTGGGCAGCTTGAAGGTAGCCTGCCACCACTTATCATCACTTCAAGGGAAGCAGGAACACTCTCAATACGTCATTCAATCACTGAAGTTCTATATATTTAGCCCTATATCACAACTTACATGTATTTCAGTGGGCTTTATATTCAGCATTCTGTCCTTAGCTTTGGTAGCAGACTTGGAAAAACTCCCCAAAGGAAACACAAAAATGAAAGGGAGAAAAATGAAAGAAACCTCCAATGATCAAGCAGTAGATGTTGTGCGTGCAGTATAAAATGTAATGACATAGACAGAACAAAACGATAGTGGGAAGATATATGAAAAAGAAAGACCCAGGAGGATTTCAAGTAGCTTCCAGGGGTCAGCAATAATATGAGCAGGAGCAGCCATGATTCATGATCCAGACGCAGCCATGTTGCAATGTGCTAGACGGAGATAGTGCATGGATTCAGATTTAGTCATTTAAAAGACATGAATGCATACAGAAAGAAAGGACAGGAGTGCATACACTTTGCATGATTATCTAGATGTTAAAATCAGCTGCTGAAAAGAGACTAAGATGTAATGTCAAGTAGAGGCAACATTGGAGCAATGTAGCATAAGGATGCAATGCTAAAATTGTCACATAACAAACTGTGGTTCAAATGTCAATGATTAAAGTAAGGATTCTGAAATATGTCAAAGAACTAGTAAAAAACAAACAGATTCAAAACCAGTAGGATTCATCCTCTGAGGACCGTGAATCCATATATCCAAATTCATTTCAATCAAGCCAATAGAAAAAGAATCAAAGTAAAGCCCTGAAAATAATTTATGGTTATGTGACACCGAGGAGTTTTTTTCTTAAATTTGACCAATGCTCTCTAAGAAAGGTTTTAAATAAACACACATACTGTAATGAATGCCCTCGTCAGTCTGCAGTGTATATAATTAATGAGTTACCTTGTAGACTGTCAGGCAATAGCAGAGTGTGTGCGTGTTCGTGAGTGTGCGCGTGTGTGTGTGCAAAACCAAACACAGCTTGCTGTTATTAAGTATTGTTGGAGGGTGTCACACTATCAGCAGTGAATAATGGCTTGCAGTGAAGGACACAGGGGCAAACAAAGGAGCAGCCTCACTCTTGTCCTACTGTATGCAATTGACAAGGATACATACAGAAGTACTACTTTTAGGGCAGGAAAGGGCAGATAAAGTGGTTCTGAGAACTCAACGCACGGCAAACAAAGAAAAATATCTCCACCAATTCAACAACAAAAGTGTCATTTGGAAAAAGCGCTGCCAAAAGAAAAATAGACTGCAAGAAGCTCACAACACAATGGAGACTGTATCCAAGGGAAGGCTACTAAATGCGGGTGTAGTCCACAGGAAAAATATCTTGCTGCTGTTTTTGTACCCCCACACCCTAAAGAATGGAGCTTCAACATTTAAGATTCAATATTCAAAGGTTTTATTGATATGTGCGTAATAGCTAGTTGTTGGCAATTCACTTCTTAAGTCCCGGGCTCCTCCAACAGTGCAACATACAATATACTTAAGACATGAAAAGACAGAAATAGTGAAAGAATAAAGTGTCACAATGGTGCAAGTAAAATGCAGGAATAATACACAATGTTGACGTAAAATAGAATAAGATGAACACAAAGTAAAACTAAATTCTGTACAGTGGAATAAAATACTGCGTATAAATATGTGGGCTTTAAACAGATGAATTTGCTCAAATGTACTCATTTGTTTTATGTCTCATATGTATTTATGTTGCATTGTTGGAGGAGCCTGGGACTTTAGATTTGCATTGCCATCACTACACTGTATGTGCATATGACAATACAGTATTTTATGACTTGTCTTTATTCTTTTTTAATGGTAAATAGTTTTTTTTTATATATATATATATATATATATAATCGTTATATTTTCGACCTTCTCTTACAACTTATTTCCTTACATTGATTATGTTTGCACCATTATACACCAAAGCAAATTCCTTGAATGTGTAAACAATAAAGGTAGATTCTGTTTCTGAACCTTTAAAGTTGAACTGCTATGAGTTCTCTCTTTAACTGAGTTTAGGGGGTGTAAGGGGCCAGATGGAATTGTGAGGATCACGGTGATAATCACTTCACAGAAACACCCCCTGTCGGAGCCTCAAGCTTACTTTTAGCCCCAGGGCAAACTGGGGGGTAATCCAGCCCTGCTTTAGCCTCCTGAGTCCCTAAACCAGGGGTGTCAAATATGCGGCTCGTGAGCCAAAACCGCTCCGACAGTAAAATATTACAGAGAAGACATTAACTGAAAACAACCAAACAAAACAAGGCATTGCACATTAGTAGAAATTAAAGAGTAGAAATAAACAATACTGGAATTGAAATATCTCAAAAATAGAATTAAAACAGCATTAAAAAGTAGAAAATATACATTAGACCATGAAGATAAAAAAAATCTATAAACTTTGACAATACAATACTATTGAAAGGCTTTAGACACAATATAACACGGGATATTATTTACATTAAGAGTGTAGGGAATATAATTAAATAAAATATACGTTTCAAATGTAAATGTGTGTCCAGTTATCGGAAGCTATGGAGCAGAGAGTTGTCTAGTAGTAGACACTGTGATCTGTAAGTTGTAATGCACATGTGGCACAAAACGGTTGAAATTGCACTTATTTTTCTTCAGAAATGTCAGGTTGTTCCTAATGTTTTGTAGATAGTTAATTAAACGTGAACATTTTCAGAATGTACCTTTTTTGCACTAAAAAAAAGGTAGTTATCATAGGTCATTATGCTATGATTTGACTGATCCGGCCCATTTGTGATCGAATTTGGCTGTGGCCCCTGAACTAAAATGAGTGTGACCCTCCTGAATCTGAGCCCCTAACCACAGCCGGTCCGGTCCAGACTCCAGTCCGTCCTGATCCACTCCTTCTTCCCCGGCGTCCCCTCTCTGGATGCCGAGCTGTGATTGGACACTGGAAGCTTGTCAGGAAGAAAGAGCTGCTGTGTTGAGGCCGAAAACTCAGACACACAAGCAGGACCTGGGTGATACCGGACTTACCCCCGTGGAAGGGATATAACTCTGCTCCACCGGACAGTAGGAAGTGGTTTTAATTGACCGGCGGAGCTCCGACCGAGTCCCCGGGTTTCAGCTACGGAGGCCGCCGCGGGTCCGCTGCTCCCCGCCGCCTGTGTGTCGCTGACTGCTGCTCACATTCATCCAGACCCTGGTAATGCTATTGAAAGGAGACACAACAGACACCACAAAACCTGTGTGAGATTTGAGTGTGAGGAAGGCGAAGGGCTCAGCTGTTGCTGCCGGTAGCCATGGCTAACAGCTGAGGCTGCTGCCCGGTAAACATCCCGCTACAGACCCAACTACAAGAACAACTCAGCGGCGGAACATTGTCTTATTTTGCGCAAGAACTGTCACCTGCACTCTCGTTTTGAAGAAGCGATTTATTCCTGGGGATTTATTTGATTAAGGACATCTAAAAGTCTCTGCATCAGGTGAGTGGATTCCGCAGTTTTTCTGACCTTACCTCACTACCAGCTTCATTCTAGCTGAGATATTTTTGCCACGACTTGTGTGTCACTTGTGATCATAACCTTAAAAAGTCCTTGTGATCAAATTCCCATTAAGGCCTCTATTTATATGTATAGTCCATGTTTTGTTCATACAGCCAGCCACGCAGCTGATTTAGGATCTGTACCATGCAAAACCTGCAGAAAACTGCTCCTTTTTTATAACACTAAATACAGGAGGGGGTAGGATTAGCAGCACCTTGCTTTTGTCAGCCTTCCTCTTCCATATGTCTCATACTCTTTGGGAAATCTGGAAGTAAAGGGAAACAAGTTTGTGTTTTATAAGTATGCTAATTTGTGCCTCTTTCCAGTCCTTGTGCTTTCTGTTCGGGTGCATCAGCAGACATTGGTCACAGTGGAGAGTGGAACAGCAACAGTTGCACAGAGACACAGTGTAAAAGCAGAGAGAAGAGATAGTAGCCTAATGCAAACCCAGCTGAGCTTTGTGGATTTAACACATTTCTCATTTACTTTTCCACTACTCACTTCAAAACAAGTGGTTGAAAAGAAAGGAGGGATTTAGTTGTTGTGTGCCAGTTGCTCCATTTCAGATTTTGAAAAGAGTTAAAAAAGAAAAAAAAGAATCTACAATTAAAAGATCAAATACAAAATATGTTCACAAACATAAGAAGTTAAAGTCCATAAGAAACAAAACGAATCCCCTTTAAAGTAATATTAATTAACATAGGATACTTATGTTTATATTAACATAAGGGGTTAGAGTACACATTTGCACATTGTACAACAATATGTAAGATGTGTATTTAAATATATACATTAGTGTTTTCGTTTAATAATATATTAATGAAGAAGTGTTTTAAAATGGTTTTGGTGATATGTAATATAACGTAAGTAGTGTCAAAATGTATCCAGTTCGTATTCACATATGAAGGAAATACAAATGTTTACTATACATTAAAGTTATCTTTTTAGGACATTGAAAAAAAAGTTGTTCTTTTAACCACAGAAATTACAATATTTTTGCTGGATTAAATTTACATTTCTACAGATTTGTATTGTTTTTCTATTTAATTGACAATTTCGCTTTTTTTATCGCTCTCTTTCAGCTACAAAAGTACTAAGACTTGTTTTCAGTTTTTTTGGCATAGCATTTTTCATAGAGTCCAATGAGTTTCAACACTATTAAACACAGTGAGGAAGATTTTTTTTTTAAACCATACATTTGAAGACTTATGGTTTTCACTGGGCAATGATTGGGTTAAACCAAGTTACAATGGCTGCGTACAACTGCTGCTCCTGACTGAGGAAGAAAGTTAGTCCAGCATCCATCAGGGCAGCATCTCATGATGATTTCAGTATTGATCATTTATCAATCAAGCTTTTAGCCTCTAGATGTCATAATAATGACATTGACTAACTGCAAGGCCCCAGAGCTACAACTGATTGCCATCATTGGTGATATTTTGTCAATTATTTGATTGATCATTTGGTCTAAAATGTCTGAAAATACAATCAGAATTTTCAAGAGTAAGGCTGTGTCTGGAGATTTAATTTTCTGACATTTAAAAATCCCAAAATATTCAGTCCATATAAAACTGACCAGAAGGGACCAGTTTTTGCTCGAAAAATACTGTACTTTTTAAATGTAATTTTCCTAACTTGGTAATCATCATCACTTGTTGGAGCGCTAGCCAATAGAAGCTTGAGTGTTACACAGTGATGTCACTATGTTATGGAAGTAAACAAAGCAGTCCAATTGAGGTTTTTCAGGCAGGGGGGAGTGTATGGGAGAGAAACTGCTCTGGTGTGAATGTTGGGATTTTTAGCCTTTGCAGACCATTGACATGCACTAAAACCTATATAACACCACAGGAAAGGGAGAACCCAAAAAGCCTAATAGGGCCTGTTTTAATTTTTTTAAATATATTTTATTCCTTATGGTCACCTTTTTATAGTAAGCAACCCAGAGAATTAAGCAATAAGATATACAGTATAGACACCATAAGTCAATAACCTTAAGACATTCAGAGACGGTGGGTATCTCCATCCGTCCTGTTCATAGTGTATCAGTATCATGTCTGTTTGTCTTCATTAATGAGTGTGGATGCCGACTCTCCGGGGATTGTATGGTGGAACAGCAAACAAGCCTGTTCTGTCCACTGCTTCATTGATTTCCCCATTCCGGCCCGGCGGCATTAAACAGCCACATTTCAGGTGATGCACTCATCACGATGTAATCACTGGAGATGTTCCGCAAGTGAATGCCCCTCCGCTGGAGATGAGCTCAGACTCCGAAACTACTACCATACGAGTAGTGAAGTTGAATGAACATTTGAGAGAGTGTAGGCACTGTTGAGCTATTAATACTTTTTCTCCATTTAAGATATTCTTAGAAGGTCTGGCTATTTGCGATATTATCTGCGGCATAATTATATCTGTATTTAACAACATTATCTAAAATATATTTATTTTGCTTGATTTTCATTGGATTGTGATTGGCCCGCAGCCTCTCACCAGCATACTACTGCATCTGCTGATTTATAGTGAGGTAACATTTAGTCTAGGTGTGTTTGTATGATGTTGTAGAGAGTGGATGTTAGGCAGGAGGAAGTCAGTTACTGTGACGATTGTTGTGCAGTGTTTCCCAGATGTAGCAAGGCGTTGGGGTGACTGTTCACTGCCCTGAAGAGATGCTGCTGAAATAACCTCTGACATTCACACTGAATGGACTGGCCCTTTTCTCTCCATCCTCAGTGGGCGGTCATGTGGGAGTAATTCAGTGCCTGGTTACATGGCTGCTTACCGCCAGCATTTGTCTGTTCGCTCTCTGCTACACTAATGCAGATTTAGATTTAAGAGCAATTTCTTTCCTGAGCCTTTGCAGTGTACTGTGTAGGCCAGCTGTCACTACCTACTGTTGCTGAAAAAGTACAGTATATTCTCGAAATGTGACAAATACATGAATGAGACATTCTGAAAAGTGACAAAATTTAACATCAGCCTTAAAAACAACCAAACTTAACCCTTTATTATCGCTTGCGTGTTGTTTTTTTCAAATTGGGCATTGTTCCCTCAATCATACTTATTTACATATAATTTCCTTCAAACTGCTGCATTTATTTGATCCGTAGGGGATAAATAGGTGTCTAGCAATCACAGGATCATTGGTTCGATCCCCAGTCCCTGAAGCTGACATGTTCAAGTGTCCTTGGGCAAGATACTTAACCCCCAATTGCCAGTCCTTTTTATATTGAAAGGAAGTCTAACAGGTCATAATTCCCTCCCAGCAGGTTAACTGAGTAGTAATCATTATCAAAATGTTTTTTAGTTTGAAGTGGTGGCTCAGACACTGTGGCAAACTCTGCACTCAATGTGTGGTCCCTTTTTAGAAAAGCGACTTAAGACCCACTTATTAAAATTGGCCTGGTCTAATCTGGACTCATGCTGTTGAGTGTTTTTTAATTTATTTTGTTTTTTTTGTGTCTGTTATTGGTTAGTTTCAGTTTTTACGGATGTCATTTCTTCATTTTATTTTCGCAAAGCATTTTGTGTGTGGTTGTTCCTCTGATCTTGACAAACAAGCCCCTTAAACTGAGTCATATCCCCTCTGGTGGAAGTAACAATGTAATGTGTACGTCACTCTTTAAAGGCATATCCTGCATTAGCATTCAGGATTAGCATTGGTTATGAATCTTCCATTATACATGTAATGCAAACATGCTGCCAAACCTTCACAAAGCATTATGTACATTGCTAATGTGAAAATCACATTTGAGTAAAATACTCTTTTTAAGATAAATGTGTCCTTCAAGACGATCAAAAAAATGGAAACCGGAGGATTTGAATAACATTAACATTTAATCTTACACATAGTGAAATTTAGAATCTTAATTTAACCAATCCTAGTATCGTTAGTTCCAGCTTGAATGCACTCTTTTCTATAGACTTGGCAAACTTAAAAATATTTCCTCTTGATCGTAATACATGCATATGTAACCGGTTACGCTCTCACGGGTGACAGACTATAGGATGAAGCGTTAGAATTAATAATTGGATTTTTTCACATCAATTTGATGTGGCACTCTAAGACATACAGACTATTTAATTATATATTAGACCAGCATAAAATCCAGGAAACATGACCACTTTCTGAAGGTTCATTATCTCCTACTCTCACACCGTATCTCACAACACTTGGATTCTGCTACTCTCTGCAATGAGTGCTGGAACATTGTAATTTTGTTTTCTTCTCCAAAACAAATTGTTCCTGATAGCTTCAGAGTACTAATGCAGAGATTAGCTCAGTCTGCCACTGAAATGTCCCTAAACCTTAATATTTCTTCATCAAAACCGTTGATTTATTCAGTAAACAAAGAATGATGCAGCAGCTCACTGACTCATTATAGATGTAATTTGTTATTCATTATTTCCCATTGATTACATTTGATTCATTCTTAATGTCTAAACATTTCATTCTCAGTTGCCCGTGTGCTGCGTTTTAATTTCTCTGTGTGCTGCATCTAGTTCAACATACAGTGATTAACAATGACAAGGACAAATACAGCATCCACATATGTTATCCGGTGGTGTTAAAGGGGCCCTTTTGGAGCTATATTTAGGTTTGTGTGCATGTAAATGGCCTGCAAAGGATAAATCTCAAAGTTCCCTCCAGTGGGAGTTTCTTTCCCACGGCACAAAATACAAATATGAACCCCAAAATGAGCATAATATGTCCACTTCACAGGCTTTAATAGTCAGGTAGACAAATGACTGTTGGAACAGTGCTGCCTCTTGAGGGCAGTGGCTTAAACTCAGGTTGGAAAACATGGGATGGATCTGAGATCATTTTTATTTAGGTGATTTGTCAAAAGTGAGCTGAAGTTTGGGTTGCTGATTGACTCCTATGATCTTCATAGCTGACTATATAAGTTTGGTGATCCTTTGAACCTACCTTCAGGTCACCA